CCCCAAAACCCCAAAACCCCAAAACCCCAAAACCCCAAAACCCCATATTATTAATTTCATATTGAACCTCCTACTGGTGAGCATCAATTAATTTACATAGGTCATCGATGTAGCTCATGTCCTTCGCACAGTTAAATGAGATGTGTCCGTAGTCATAATTCTGGTGGAACACTAATCAATCCTTTGAGAGCTTGCTCTTGGTCCAATCTACGTCGAACTTCGATGAAATGACATCATAATTGCCTACAAATAAGCTAAAACATACCTCAGAACAGAGCAATCGGAACGCTGTGGATGCGAGTCAAGTCAATATCTGGGGGAGAAGGAGTTCCGTATTTGATCATGTTGATTTTCTCTCCATAATCGAATCTTACAAATCTTTCTTTTTGAAGAACTTGCTTCCAGTGCATCAAATTTTTGTAGCTACACAATAAGCCAAAGCATTTCATTTGGAATGTAATTATCTTGAAAATTTTCTAGTGTAAGTCTCTCATAATTCTCAGAAAGAATCTTAGTTTGAAATTCACACAGGAAGTATGCAAGGAGATTCAACTTAAGTTTATTTTCCAACAAAGCTGTCATTATAATCTCATATTACTATTAAGTGAGTATAAAAAATACTCAAATTTGTTCGGTTTTACTTACCTATTGCCTCCTTGGTGACGGTACCTAAACAACTCAGATCGATGAATCTTACCAAAATCTTAACACAGATTCATGGTCGTTCACCTCTGGAACTCCATCATGTATAAATCTCTGAGCCTTATTAACAAAACCAGGCCAAACTCTTGCGAGCAAGTAAGCCATGTTCATTAACACAGTGTCTTTGTTGTAAAGATCTGTCATCTCAAGCCAATCCAGGAATCTCAATAATGATTTTCTCTTTATTAATTTTTGGTAAAAAGGAAAGGAATCTCTTGAAACCCTCGTCACTGGAGCCAATGCTACAAACAAATTGAGATGTTCTCGAAACCACTCGCTGTCTCTTGACAACGCGTAAAACATCTGGGCGCTGCCTTGCGACTGACCCACAAAGGTGACTTTGTCGTGGCCAGTCTGCTGCTTGACATGCTTGATGACTGCTTTGCTGTCGACCATCCCCATTTCTTCGAGGCTGTAGTCCCAGAACTCGGGATCAGCCTCAGGATCCAGATAACGGTGGAGTCGGGAGAAAATGTTGCCTCTGCTGTTGTTCATCCAGACGTCGTAGCCTTTGTTTGCAAGCAGAAATGCAGGTGACTTCTCTTTGTGAGACACCCAGCAGAAGCAGGAGTCATCGAAGCCGTGTTGCAGGATCAGACTCGGTTTTTTGATTGGGTTTGGCAGTTCTGTTTCAGGGATAAGTCTATGGGATGAAATGAAGGCGGTACCTGAACACTTGAAGAATGTAGTGGTCATCAGTCTCAACAAAGTATTTCTCTGCTTTGAATCCATACTTCCTTCATCTTTCGACCACATCCATCTTAGCTTCTGGGTCAACAATGTAGTGCTCACCAAGCTTGTAGCCTCCGTAGGCTGCTCCCATAACACAGAAAATGCTTTTCATGTTGACTTAGTAAATTTGCTCAAATCAATAAATGTTCTAGAGCCAGGGGTTTTGGGGTTTTGGGGTTTTGGGGTTTTGGGGTTTTGGGG